GCAGGGCAGCAGGAAGCAGGACTGGCCTGGGCACACACAGATCCCAGGGTGCTACCTGTCCCACGGACGGTCCTGGCAAAGCACGAGCGAGTCTGGCCCCGGCTCTGCCTCTGCCCCCTCCCCTGAATAGTTGCTTACTGCCTGGCTGGTAGATACACTGACACAGTGTGAGTGTGTCTACCAGCCAGGCAGTACGCAACTATATACGGATACTCATGATAATAAAACTAACTTAATTAGGAAATACCGGACATTTATATGTCCACTATTTTCTCAATTTGTTTCCCAGACAGAAACCTCAAATTCTGGACTGTCCGGTTCAAAACCGGACACCTGGCACCCCTAAAGAGAGATGGTTTGGGGAGGAAGAGGTGGCCCAGGCCCAGAGAGTGATCCAGAAATTGCTGCCACTGTTCAAGAAGTTCCATTTTATGCCCCCCCTTCCTTGACATAACTCTCTCTACTATGGGGGAAGCAGGAGACAGGAAACCATAAAAGGGGTGTGACCAAATAGCAGGCCAGACAAAGCCACATGGAGAAAGGCCATCTCTAGCTCTTTGCAAAGTCTTCTGAAGTCGCTAGGCAATTTTTCAGAATTTGTGGAGTTTCTCCAAGGGAAAGTTAGTGTTAAATTTGCCAATATCTGTGAAATACTTCAGCACCCTCCCCCCCAGCCCACCCACACTTTTTAAAGAAAACTGAAAATGTGTGCAGAGAGAGAGAGTCTGGAACTGCATAGTAAAAGTCATCTATACATGAACTCTCTGCATCTCCGCCCAAGAGCAGACAAAGACCAAGAGACCATCCTGTCCCTAATAATTCACATCTTCAGCCATACTCATGGCATTAAAACAAAAAACTGACTTAATTTGATCACCTTTCTCCTGTAGAAAATCTAAACAGCCACTGCAGTGGCATTTAAACTGAAATACTCTCACTTATACTACCCTATCATAAACTACTCCTGCCAACTTTTAAATTAACACCCTTATGCAGTCATTGGAGTCATTTTTCTACTTCTTTTCTCCAAAGGGCACCAGTCTTTGGACAATTCTCAAAACATATGGAATTTCAAATGCAAGTGCTATGGTACTCTAATACACAGTTATGAACTTCAACAGGACTGAACCAAAAGACTGACAATGTATGCAGCAAAATGTCTGAGTAAATCTGAATACATGCATAGATTCCACTCAAGATCATCTTATCTGAAGAAGTGGGCTTTGCCCACGAAAGTTCATGATACTATATATTTTTGTTAGTGTCTAAGGTGCCTCAGGACTACTAGTTTTTAAAGATACAGACTAACACAGCTATCCCTCCGAGAATTTTATGCGTAGCATAGATATACAAAGTAGACAGACACAGAATAGGGCCTTTAGATTTTCTATCAAAACCTCATTTAGCAAGAGCGCTTTACCAGAATATTTCAATTTTAAAAGTAAGGTGTAACAGTTGCACAAGAGACAAAGTGGAATGGAGTAAAATTACAATATTTAGGTGTTCTTTACTATGCGCTTCCATATTTATTTTAAGTGTAGTCTTTAATTTGAAATTTCTGGCTAACATCTGTGGATTTGAAGGAATCACAGTGCTTCTCTTGGGGCTCCCTATTTCTCAAAATATTCCTGGCTTCAGTTCCAGCTTAGTAAAAGTTTGTAGTTATTGTTGGGTTGTTTTTTTTTTGGGGGGGGGGGGGGGTAATTGGTTGAGTTTTGTGTGTTCAGTAATACACATAATTAGTCTGAATTAATGAATTTTGGAGTTTCAAAGACTTAATCCTTGGTGAATTGTTCCAGTTAATGCATAGATGTGTCAGTCATAGCATATGAATCCTTTTTATGATTACTAGTCTAGTGTTGTAGAATAGCAAATTTACTAAACCATTCTATACTGCATTTTCAGTGCTACAATAATAGACCACTTTTGCCCTATTCACTGCAAACCTGGTTAACTTTTCTTATTTGTATCTCTGAATATAAAAAAACCATTATCTGCATTTGGAACTATGCTTAGTTTTTCTATAAATGATTCACAGGTACCTTTTCATATGAAGTGGTAGCACAATTCTATCTTTAGACATTTCATTCTTTGAAGACTACATATAAGATTATTACCTTGTTTGGGGATCCCAGGTATATCTTCAAATGAAAGTGTCCTCAGTGAAGGTCTCCAGAATGCATAGGATTCCACTAAAGCTTCCAGTCCCATTCTAAATAGAAAAATAACCACCACTATGTGAAAAGAATTATCTATATTTGGCCTGTCACTTTTTGTAGCTAGTTTATCACTCAGTCTCTCACACACTGAATGTTTCAGGAAAAAAAAATATTTTTAGAACAATGTTTCTCACACTCTGGTCCATGGACCACCTCTGATCTGTAGTGAAAATGCTGGTGGCCGCAGAGAGCTAGTTGGTCCCATGGTGCTGGCTCTTCTTGTTTCCAGATGCTAAATCACTTTTTTAAAAAAAAACTGCTAGCAGTACCTTTAATAATTTTGTAGTAGGGATTTTCCACATAAGTCTGATTGCCGAAAGGACGATCTGCCATATTACATTAGAAAGAAAACAATCCATAAAATAACTTATATTAATATGTGATTCAACATTCTCCTTGACTTAGAAAATTATGCTTATAAGATGGGTGACTCATGGATGGGCTGCTCTTTTTGAAACTGTTACGGGGCACTATAGGGCAAAAATATCTGTAGAAAATAGCTTCAATAGTTTTCTCTCTGAAGTTTTTAAATAACAAATAGAAATAATTATCTAACCAGACATCTCACTGAATGTTCTACATAAATTTATCCAAATCTATTTGCTCTTCTGCCTATATACAAGTAAAGGTCATTCGTTTAGTGCCATGAATTCACTAACAAAGCTACTGAGTATAAAGCACATGGGTACAATTTCGTTGCTACTTTTGGTTGCTGCACTTCTAAAGCTTGTTAAGTGTCAACATCTGGCCCACAGCACAAACAAATGCTTGCCTTTGAACAGCAGCACTTGGTAAATTGGAAATATGCAAATAGTCCGATTTGAGGCTATCCCCACTCTCTTCTGACATTGCTTTTTTTTCCATGCAGCCATTCCAGCAGGATCACAGATATGGTGCAGGAAATTTATAAAGTATTTATTAGCTGAACCTGGACTAAAACATAGCTTCGTTTTCTAGCGTAATGGTGGCTTTTCACTTCGAGTTAAAGCAGAGATAAAAGCCACCTCCTGCAGGAGTGTAGCCAAGGCGATAATTTATACAAGATGCCTTCGAAAAATTTCCACGTTTTATCACCACCCTAATTTATGCTATTAAATGGCCAATTTTATTTAACCAAACAGTTATGTTTTTCCTGAACATATTTAAGGAAAAGAAATGTTGGTACCTCTGAGTAAAAGATTTTTATAGGGTCAAACCTAAGGCCTAACTGAAGAATGAAGCTATTCTCAGCGCATAAATTGTGTTTCGCTTTGCAAATGTACAGAGGGTACTTTTAAAGGGCACCACTACTGATATAAAGTAGCCTGTGACACTGTAAATGATCTGAAAGGAAATGTTTTTAATTAAATAGAATTGCTTTATGTTGTGTTACAGGGCAAGGATGCTGCAGTAAAATATATAATTAAAAGGCACCAAAAGGAAAATTCAATACCTAGTTACCATAGTATTTTTAACTTTTGATATGGACTACAATGCCTACGTAGAAGACATACTACAGAATTCTGTAGAAAATAAAACCTTTGCATTTAGACTCTTCAAAGAAAAAAAACTTGCTGCAAAAAGAATTTAACATGTGAACTACATTCTCAAATGTATTTGGTCACATTCTCAGTGTGTATCAATCAGCATAGGACTATTAATTTCAAATGAGCTGCACCAGTTTCTAGTAGCTGAGGGTCTGGACCCTTCTACAATAAACACCCTTATTACAATGAAAGGATTTTTTAGATTTCTATTTAAAAACTGTTTACAGAGAGGACTTCTTCAGTGGATCGATCTCACAATTCTATTCCATCATGCTTTCCTCATTCAAAATCACACTTTTCATTCATTATCCATACAAAAAGGATTTAAGTCTGGTTTAAAACAGAAACAAAAACAACCAAGTCCCAGTCCTACAACAGGATTTTTGTGGCTGGCTCCCTACAATCACACAGAACCCAAGAAAACTCAATCTAACTCTATCCATGCAAACCCAGTTGCAAGATGGATTCTAATGTATTCTCACCTCTGAATTTCAAAGTGTATCCCACTTTCTGAGGGAGTTTCTTAGAACATAAAGAGTGAAACCTGCCCCACTGACGTCACTAGGAATTTTGCTATTGACTGCAATGATGAGAGGATTTTCCCCCAAAGGTTTCTGTGCAGGGACAATTTATTCTGGGTATTTGACAGCACCAAGAATAGTGTGGGCACTAAAGAAATATCGGATATATTATCAGATGGCCATTAAAGCAGTTCAAAGGCACATAGGGTGAATTTCTCATGATATTCAGCAAACTTAATTTGCTTCTACCTTAACTAACTCTATCTGGAATTTAGTTATTTACTCAATTCTAAGATGAAGGACTAAGTTCATCAAAGCTTCCGAAACCTGAAGAAGAGCTCTGTGTAAGCTCAAAAGCTTCTCTCTCTCTCACTAACAGATCCAATAAAATATATACTCTCTCACCTTATTTCACTAATACCCTAAGACCAACATGGCTAACACAATACTGCAAACATGAGTTCACAACTGGCATACAGGAACAACTCCCTTCTGCCAACGGAATGGTGCCTGACTCAGGACGAGGGGTGAAAGTAACTTACATTTCTTACAGGTACTATTGTATTGCTCACCTCTGAGGGGGTGTGGAAATGCACCCAGGGCAGAAGGTGGGGGGGTGAAACATGACAGAACCTGTCAGAAATTTAATTGTGGAGTGGAGTGCAGTGGGCTTAGGGCAGGGAATTGGGAGTGTATAGGGGGGCTCAGGGCAAGAGATGGGGTGCAGGAGTCAGGGCTGGAGGGGTGAGATGGGTGCAGGAGTAAGGGTTGAGGGCTGTGAGGAGGGGCTCAGGGCAGAAGGTTAGGATGTGTGTGGAGGGGCACAGGTACTGGGAGCATGGGAAGGGGCAATGGCACACTTTAGGTGCTGATGCCGCCCCCTGATTTATACCAATGCTGCTTGATGTTCACTCTTCCCCTTTGTCATTGTCGGGGAGTGAAAGGTAAACACACGGCATGGGTCACTTGCTCCTCTGTCCTTCCCCACACCAGCTGGGAGTGAGAGGAATGCAGGGACGCTGTGTGCTGTCCTCTTGCTCCCTGACCTTGACAAAGCGGCACAACAAGCAGCATCAGTAGGAACGGCGGGGGGCTCAGTCCACTCCCTGTCTAAAGGGTGCCTGGTGGTGGGGATTGGGGCTGGGACAGTCCCCAGACTAGTGTGGGGCAGCCCCCCACAGCCCCTTTTGCCTGCCTGCTGGTTAGCATGACCACCTGCAGGAGAACCCTGGGAGCTGGGCTGGCCCCACCTCTGCCTGCTGCAGGCCCCACCTCTGCTCAGGACTGAGTTTGGCCAATTGAGTCAAATCAGGAAAACACTTCATCCTTGACAGCAGCAAATGCTCAGTGCGAAAGTCTATGATTCTTTCTGCTGGATTCCTATCAGCCATCTCTCTCCTTCTATTTCTAGTATTTATTATTTGTATTACCATAGCACCTAGAACTCTACTCATGGACCAGCACTCCACAGTGCTAGGTACTTCAAAGTTCATCTCCTTCTCTCCCAGCATTATGCATTTAAAAGAAAAACTAATTTACCCTCCAAAAGTGAATCTGAGCTCTTCTGCAATTTGACTTGAGCCTAAAATGATCTCTAATACTTCACCCTTCTACTAAAATAGAAGCTCAATAAACTGGCAGGCACACACTGAACATCTTCACTGACAGAGTTTGTTTTCTTCTCAGGAAGGTCAGGTCATAAATATGCAGTAGTAGAAAACAGAACGCAAAGTGGTCCCTGAAATTATTGCATTAATTGAAATTAATGCTTCCTTTTTCCAGGGACAGGGTTAGTATGCAATTCATAAAAGAATCACCGTTCAAACAATGGGCTAGTTTTCTTTTCATTTTCTATATCCATAAGTTGTGGTGTATATTCATATTAAACAGTGAATCTTCAAGGTTGTTACGTGTCCAATTGTTACGTGTCCAACATTCAGGTTTAATTCAATAACTTCAGGACTAGCACTGTGACACCTGGTTCTTACAAGCTTGAAAAGTCTGCTGCCATGTAGTATCCATTCTTTAAAGCCTTTAACAAATTAATTTTGTCATTGTAGACAAACTCATTTTTCCAAAGCTTACCTGTTACGTCCAGAATCTCTAAATCCTTTGGCAAATGGATTCCTATCAATCTTTAATCGAGTGATCTGGAAAAATAGAAGAAAATGATAGCAAAACTTTTACCAATTCAGTGTAAGTGATATGCACAGTAAATTACCCTCTAAACCTTAACTAGCATCATAGGTGCTGGCACTAGAGTTGTCGTGGAGAGAAGGGTGCTGCCACACCCCATATCTTGACATGGTTTCTATTATATACAAAGTTTACAGTTTTGTTTAGTGGCTGTCAGCACCCTCGCTATAAAAATTGTTCCAGAACCCCTGGTTGTCATTAAAATATTCAATTTTAATTCTGGTTAAGAACAATAACAATTCAAGTGGATCTTTCCTCCCATTTGCAGGTTGAACGTGTATTTTTTTTAAACACAATTAAGACCTAATCTCGATCATGCTCTACCATATATCCAAAGAAGTCAGTGGTTATTTATTTTACACTAAGGCTGGTAGAGATTCTTGAAAGAAATTGTCTGGAAAATGTTGCTCCTTCAACTAAGACAATGCATAGCCTCCTGGTTTGCAACAATTACATAAAATATATACAGACAGAAAAGTAGATGCTGAATAACAGATATTTGTTGGGCTATTGTGCTCACATGCACATAATACAGTATAAACAAACAGAACACAAAATATTTGTAATTTCTTTAAATCAACCGAAGAGTTACTAGCTAATGACAGTCCATTAGTCAGTTGCCTCTTCCACTTTAAATTTATATTGCATCATTAAATCATTTTGCTTTCTATGTTCTGAAAACAAGTAGGAAATTAATAAGCACAGACTTCATACTATATATACACACACAAAAACGTAACTGTGCTAAATTATTTGGAATGAATCAAATAGTGCTATACTAAATATGATGTCATTGTGTGCTACACTTAGACAAAGTGAACAGTGCAGATGACTAGAAGTCAGGCAATCTGGTTTTTAATTTTGTCTTTGTAGCTGAATACATGAACTTGAATAAATGATTTGTGGGCTAATCCTGCTTCTTTAGAAGTTAAGGAAAGTTATTAATTACTAAATTAAAAACTAATTTCCCTTTTTATAAATTGGGGCTAACAATACTTGACTAACTTTGGAAAGTGTTTTGAAATCAATGCATGTTAAGTACCTATGGGGTTTTCAGAACCACCCATGTACCTATCTTCATTTTTAAGCACCTAAATATCTTTTAAAATATGACCTTTAGGCTATGTCTACACTACTGCCCATATCAGCAAAACTTACGTCACTGAGGGATGTGAATATTATCTGCACAATTCTGTGACAAGGGAGAGGTTCCCCCACCAACATAGCTTATATTGCTCCTGGAGGACGGGTTTTTGCTAACAGGAGAGGTCTCTCCCATCAGCATAGGGCATCTTCACTGGATGTGCTGCAATGTTACAGTTGTATTGGTACGGTGAAACACCACAATACTGTGGCTACGTCTACACTGGCATGATCTTGCGCAAAAACTCTTTTGCGGAAGAGTTCTTCTGCAAAAACTCTTCTAGAAGACAGCGTCTACACTGGCATGCGCTTTTGCGTAAGAGCATCCGTGCCAGTGTAGACTCTCTCTTGAGCAAGAAAGCTCTGATGGCCATTTTAACCATAAGGCTTTCTTGTGCAAGAAATTCATGTTGTCTGTCTACACTGGCCTCTTCTGGAAGAGCTCTTACGCAAGAGGGCTTATTCCTGAGCAGAAGCGTCAGAGTTCTCGCGCAAGAAGCCCTGATTTTATACAGTAGAATGTCAGCTTACTTGCGCAAGAACACGTGGCCAGTGTAGACAGGCAGCAAGTTTTTGCTCAAGAGCAGCCGCTTTTGCACGAGATCACTCCAGTGTAGACACAGCCCTAATGTATAGACCTGGCTTTAGTCTCTTTGACCCACATTAAACAAATGCCTTCTTATAAATAAAAGATTCTCCTTTTCTTCTCTTGTACTTCTTTGGTATATGCTGAAAAGCCAAGCTCCGTCTACACCATCCCTGACAGATGTCTATCTAACCTGTTCTTAAATATCTCCAGAGAGGGAGATTCCACCAGCTCCCTTGGCATCTTGGCATTTGCATCTCGCCAGGCGCCGCCATTTTTAAATGTCCGCTAGTGCGGACTCCGTGCCGCGCGGCTACACACGGCACGGACTAGGTAGTTCGGACTAGGCTTCCTAGTCCAAACTACCGTTACTCCTCGAAGCCTAGTCCGAACTACCTAGTCCGTGCCGTGTGTAGCCGCGCGGCACGGAGTCCGCACTAGCGGACATTTAAAAATGGCGGCGCCTGGCGAGATGCAAATGCCAAGATGCCAAGGGAGCTGGTGGAATCTCCCTCTCTGGAGATATTTAAGAACAGGTTAGATAGACATCTGTCAGGGATGGTGTAGACGGAGCTTGATCCTGCCTTGAGGGCGGGGGGCTGGACTCGATGACCTCTCGAGGTCCCTTCCAGTCCTATTATTCTATGATTCTATGACATTTGAAAATGGCGGCGCCCGGCGAGATGCAAATGAAGCCCGGGAAATTCAAATCCTGGGCTTCATTTGCAACTCCAGTTGCCTACATTACCACCCTAGTTCGAACGAGGGTGGTAGTGTAGACATACCCTAAGATATTAACAAGAAAGCCAAAGTTACCTGTTGATTCTGGTATGCTGTTACAGTGGTGAAAACAGTTTCAGGGAAAGAAAATGCTTTGACGCCTTCCCCTGAAGGAATTGGCTTGACCGGGGACAGATCATCTCCACAGTCTTTACGAATGACATGGACACGCGGCTGGTATTTATGCATAGAATGAAGTATAATCTATACCAACAGAAACAAAGAAAAGGTGACATTTATTAGAAAGAGTGCCCTGCTGTTTCAACGCTGATAGAATTTGGGGAAAGATTATGGCATGTGTCGCTTATGCAATCTCCCAGAAATTAAATTTTCTATAGCTGATGATGGGTCTCATTACAGTAATCTATTCATTATGCACATATTATACTGCCATTCTTAAGCGTTCAACATTCATGAGTGTGGAACACAAAAAAAAATTAGATTGGTTTAAAAGGCATGGAAGAAATGCTGGCCTTTCTGAAATCAACAGGAATTGTCCCCTAGACTTTAGTGGAGACTGGATTTCACAATAAGTCTTTAAAAAAAAATCAGTTAGCTTTCTGGATTTTGAAACTTTAGGAAAATCTTGGAAATGCCCCAGGTGCAGTGGTGCTGAATTTGGCTGTTAGTTTTTTGTGATTTTTTTTCTTAAAAAAAAAATCTTATGGTGAAATCCAGTCCCCACTGACATCTATGGGACAATTCCTACTGATTTCAGTGGGACAGCATTTTACCCATGCATTACAAATGTATTTGTTGGAGTGGTTTTTAAATGAAAGCTGATATTCTCATGACTTCAAGAGCAGCAGCTTTCAGAAAACCTCCAAATATCACAATCACAAGTGTTGGCAACACTGTATTTACAGTACGTAAACAGATACAAGGAACATTACTTATATAAAAATAATAAATATACACATGTCAAATTAAGAAAGAAGAACAATTCCCATTATTAAAGATTTAGGCCCCAATATTATAAAAATATTATGAATATAAGTGCATCAAATTAAAGACATTGATAATCATTTGCAGAATTACTGTAGTATTTCTACATTTTGGAGAAGGCTTAAAACATACAAGATTTGTCCTTATATTATATTCCATTATATTAAAGGTAAACATACTTTTAACAGATTTATTTTAAAAAAATAGAAGCTCTGCAACTTTTAGAAGGTCTAATCAATGAATAAATCACCACTCCCATAGCTATTGGTTGAAGCTTTAACCAAAATACAAGAGCAACCTTTTTTAAATTTCCTACTTCTTTAGCAGCCACAGAATGCTTATGCAGTCAGGCATCACAACATGGAGCCTTTAACTTCACCCAGCCTGAATGATGCCAAATACCATGAAACCTCATTTATCCAAATGAAATGGGGGACATTACATTAGCTTGGATAAACAAGGGTTGGCTAAGCAGAGTACTTTTTAATGCATTTAGTCCTGGCTGGGGGACATGATCCTGTTTTGGATAAGCAAAGTTTCCAGATAATCAAGATTTCCATTATACTGCAATTGGGCTGTTTTAACATTGACATCAGAAGAGCTCCAGTAAATGACTTCAGACAGTGCCATATGGATGTTCTGATAGACGGCAACTTCCCCAGCTTCAATAGCCTCACATAGAGCAAAGAGCCAGAGACTGGCGTTGTTGAATTGAATGTTTAAATATCTCTTCCAAAAAAATTTCCAGCGTGTTTCTGTTGGAAAAATCTCTATACAAAAAGAATTAGAAGGTAAATAAAGAACAGCAAAAGTCTGATCTTGCATTCTTTGTACACCCTAAATACTGGAAGACGTAAGAGAGTAATGGGTACATTAGGAATCAAATTAAAATCAAATTAAAATCATATACTGGAGCCCCAGATGCCCATTGCCTTGCATTTTGCCTAGTAATTTACACCAATGCAACTGAGTATAATTGTTTTTCTACTATTCTGATTCGGCAGAAGTTCCCCTGCTCCCATATGCATAACTTTGTACTGAATCAAATGACTACTCAAGATACAGGATGATGGTGAAGTGGACCCAAGATATTGCCAAGTTAAGAAGCAAAATAACTTAATCACACCTCTCCCTGGAAATGTTTTACCCTCTGTTGTTATTAGTTATGCCTATAATTACCATCATGGAGAGAGTAATGAAGCGAAATTTTTATGTTTTCAGTTTGCTTTTTCTGTGCATTTAATAGCACGGAGTAGACTGACTCTACACCATTTTCCCTGAAGAATCAGTTTCTCCTGTTTGTGTGGGTCTTTTAAAAAGCCAAAAATATGCAAATGGAAAAAGTGGCCAAATAATTGACATTATCTTTAACTTATTTACGTTGGCTGTATTCCTTTAAAAATTAATTACATAGCATAATCAGTCTCAGTGACACCCATCATAGACCATCCAGTTATTTAAGATAATTCAGCTCAAACTGACATGCAGATCAATACACTATTTGGGTTTAGCAAAATATTAGTTCAGATCCTATAGGTCCAGGCCATGGTCCACCCTATGAATGGGAGTAAGGAAAACCAAGGCAACATGCCATTTCTGGGAGTATAGAGAGAGAGAGGAAACAGGCTGTACTTCCGCAGCTGGGCGGGGAAAGCCAGGGAGAGGGAAGTATAGTGGCCCTACATGTGTTTCCAACAAGTGCTGCATCTGCATCCCAAGAAGTGCATGCTACAATGGAGATTGACTGGTAATAGTTTACTCCTTCATCAGAGCAGGGGGTAGACTAGGCAACCGGCACTTGATGGCATATACCACTTGTGCCAACAATGCTCCTCTGCCATCTATATTGGCCAAACTGGACAGTCTCTATGACAAAGGATAAATGGACACAAGTCAGATATCAGAAATGGTAACACATAAATCTGGAAGGGAACATTTTTACCTGCCTGGTCACTCAACCATGGATTTAATAGTAGCCATTCTTCTACAAAGGAATTTCACTAACCAAGAGAGAGTCTGCAGAACTGGAATTCATCTACAGATTTGACACTGGTACCCTGAGTCTAAACAAAAACATTAACTGGTTGGTGCATTACAAAGCCAATTTTTCCTGCTTTTAACATCTGCACTTCCACATCACAAGCTATGTATGGGACACATCCAGCTCAATTAATTAGCCTAATTAACACAGGCCGTACAAATGACAGGTACTTATTTGAAGATATTTAGCTCAGAATAAGTTTTATATATATTTCTGTTATTTGTTATTTCTACTCCAATGTATCTGATGAAGCGAGTTTTGCTCATAAAAGCTCATGATTCTATATATTTTTGTTAGTCTCCAAGGTGCCACAGGACCACTCATTGTTTTTAAAGTACAGACAAACACAGCTGTCCCTCTGTGTCTTCAGTTCACATATGTAGTCCTTGTTCACATGGGACATTCACATGGAGGGCACCTGGGTCGGTATTAACATTTCCCTTAAAAATGTGTAAAGTTGACTGGTGTATTTTACCTATTTACTTAGTGATCCTGATTAGTTGCAATGCAGCCTTCTGCCTAAATTACAGGTCATTGTGAATTGTGACTAGCCCTGCTGTCCGTACCAGTAAGTTAGTACTGGTAAGGGCCCCAATTCATCTCTCACTACTGTCACTCCAACGAGGTCAATGGAGTTACGTAATTGGGGAGTAGAACTGCTGAAACCAAGTTGAGGTTTCACCAAGCCATTCTGCCTGAACAGAATGAAAATAAACTTTGCCAGAACATAAAATCCACCAAATTACGGGTGCAACAAAAGAAGATTCAGACCTTAAATGTAAAAACAATATTTGGGGAGGTTGTGTGGGCATGGCTGCTAGCTTTTTAATCTACTATCCCTCTTCTTCTCACCATACAGAGAAAAGTGGGTCCTTCCCATTTATGGGAAACATTTATTTTATTCATCACAAAATATGCAATAATTCCTTTTCTATTAGTGCTAGAGGCACCCATAGGCTGCATAGCCATTTCCATTCAGCATTCCATGCTACTCTGAAAGAATGTACACATTACATAGACACTTTTATACTTTCTGGTTTTGCCCTTTCTGGTAAGGATGAGTGTTTGCAATTTGCCAGACTTTAGAAATAAGAATTTTGCAACCAAGCTTCTATTGTCTTTTAAAAAGAAACTCTTACATTTCAATTTTTTGTTTTGTTTTGGGAGGGAAGAATATTGTGGTTCTGAATCAATTCAATGTGTCTTAGATCTCTGTAGAAGAATACTACTTGGCTAGCTTTCAAACTGAGACTTTAATAAATAAAGAGTGCTCCAGTAATTTTAAATTTCTCTGTACCATGAATAAGAGTGTACTATAAAGGCTGGATTTCAGCTCCAGGGAAAGAATGCCTGAAATGTGACCTTGCACAATACAGAATGATACATGGTATACAGTCCAGGATAAAGAAACGTAGCTCTTTGTTCATCTTCAAGATTAAATCTTGAGCTCCAGTCCTGCCATGGATAGCACATGGGCAGACTGCTATGTTTATATGCAACCTCGCAGAACAGAAGTCAATGGTTACAACAGTCCACCTGAATGCTTGGCTATCACTAATCTTGGAGGTTGGGGTGTGAATTCCAGCTTACATAGACATACTCTCTATAGCTCTCATGGAAGTAGCATGCTGAAAACTGCAGTGAAGCCATGGTAATATATGAGTAGAAGTGAAGTGTGACATGGGCTAGGTGCTTTGAGTACAAACCTGTCTGGATCTCATAGAATCATAGAACCATAGAGCTGGAAGAGACCTCAGAAGGTCATCAAGTCCAGCCCCCTGCTCTAGACAGGGCCAATCCCAACTAAATCAACCCAGCCAGTAGATTTATGAGTACATACTTGGGGAAGCTAGGTCAGGTTGCCACTCACTTCTGCTCCAGCTACCAATGCCACACTACTGTTTTTAGCACACAATGCAAGTATGTCTGCACAAGCTAGGAATCCAGCAGCCAACTCCAGGTGCAGACATTGCTTATAATTGTAGATCTGGAGTCGTCCAGAATTACAGCTCTCTTTGCTTCTTAATCACTTTAATAAAATGTAGGTTGCGTTAGTGCAACCCGTGTCCACTTTAATTCCAGGTACCCAAGTAATCCCACTGAAGCCCATGGAACTTCTCATACTGAGTAACATTTCTTCACTCTGGGATTGCAGGATCAGACCCCTAGTTCATAATTCCACAGATAAACAGTGTAAATATGGAGAGGAAAGACATTAAGTTCATAACAAAAATACTATTGATTCAAATTCTCATGTGGACATATCTATAGTTAACACAGCAGAGTTGTTGGACCAAATTTATCCCTGGTGCAAAACCATTACTTAAGCAGTCATGAATTACCCCCATCACTTTACTACTCACTCCCATATAGGGGCCTTCAATTTAGGCTGTACAAGCCCATCTGGAACTCTGGTTTCACTGCTCCAGTGCCTGACCTGGCCAGATTACAGCTAGCTCAGTAAGTCCACCCAACAGACTTACAATTACATTCTGTAATAGAGCTACAATTACACTCTGTAACTGCCGTACGGACATACCCTATAGATATATATTTTCTTTAGAGAAAATGAAGGGGCTTATAGAATTCACAACTGGGACCATGTTCTCCCACCATTCTGCAAGCAGCGTCCCCATTGACTTCAATGGGAAAGGTGCACAGAAAAAAAGTGCTGATAGCTATGCAGAGTATCTTTGCCCCTAGTGGTACCCATATTCTGTTTTATCCCTTTTCGTGACTGAGGAATCATCCCATTTAACAAGTCTGGCCACTTTAGGCTCAATGGAACCCACATCCGGTCTCCGACTTGTCACTCAAGTTCTTAAAGCTCCAGACTCTTTGAGGTCAATGTTCCCTTTGAAAGAATGCCAACATTTGTCATTTATTACTGGATTTGTCAAAAGTAAAGGCTTCATCCTGACTAAAAAAAAAACATCCTGACTAAAAAAAAAAAAAACAATTCTTGTTTTTTAATTATTTCCTAAGGTGTCAAGTACAACTATTTTAGGGATTGTTGGAAAGATCCTGGCTTACATCTGTCATGTTTCAACAGTTTTCAAGCGAAAAGGAAATATGAATATAAACACATTTTGTCACATTAGATAATGTCATAACTAAACAATTCAGAACTTGCACACAAAACGCTCATACTGTAGCCGTCTGCCAGCTTTTTCAGAAGTAATGAGCCTCAGCTGTGAAAGGGTCTTGCTTCATAAGGTATGTAATAAATCATTATCAGAGTGAACCCAGCTCCCATGTTGTTCATTCTGGAGTGCAATTATTAACACCTCATGGGATTTCACACAAATGTTTAGGTTAAAAAAACAGTTATATATACACTTTTTATTCATGTAAACGTATTACATATTACTAACATTTATTCTAACTACTTCTGAGTTTAAGCACACATTTTAATAAAAATTGAAATTGCAAGTTACAGTGGTAAAATATAAGAGCAATTTGATACTTTTAGTTTAATTAATTCAATCTTGCACAATTCTTAACTGGAGTCCTATATTTTTGAGAGGCATGTAAACTAGAATCTTTCCTTTAAAATGATCATTTATCAAAGCAAAAGAATTAGTTTTACATGTGTGCTGGTCAATATTTATGAAGCTTTGCAAGGCTGAGTTCATTCTTGTCAACAGGAAAATTCACGTCATAAAACCCTCAAGTGATGACTGATGTGCTAGTTTTAAATATTATTAGACACAAGATACTCACATGCCCTTGATCATCCAGTTCGTTATTCGTAAGTTTCAGTTTGTCAAAACTGATCACTTGTCTCATCCAAGTCTCCCCTGAGGCGGGTGAATCAGGGTGAATATAAACACGAGGAGGTACTGGTGAATCAGCGTTCCCAGCCACCATCCATTTAGAGCTATGGTAAACATACCTATAAAAAGAAGCCCAACATATGTCAGAAGGAAATTGGAAATAATTCACAGGCTGATTAATAATGATATAGCAGGCCTTTGTATGTATAGCACCTGTCAAACTACAAATGTTGAGGGACAATAAGTACAATGGAGCTAGTCACAATATCCCAGAGGGAAGTGAATATTTTACCAAAAGAAAAAAAAGGGGGGGGAACCCCTAAAAGTTGCCTATAAAAATAGCTAGGCAATTCCACTGAGATCTGAGAGATAAAGAGAAAGTAATCAATATAAACAAAGTCACAACATCTTGGGAAGCCTTCTCCCTCACCACTGCCAAGATTACCCTAACAGCTGCACTACAAACCACAGTCATCATCTTTGCTGCAAATAACAACTTTAATTTACTTTCATTTCAATTGCCAATTTTCAATTTCTGCATACAGCTGAGTTATAAAATATCTGCAAAAGTATCTACAATAGATAGGACCAAATTCTGCTCTCATTTAGAGCCTGATCCAACTCCAATTAAGGCTAACTGCAGTCTTTCCACTAACCACCAGTTATGTCAAGATAGATCCATTGATCTCAATGGCATCTCTCTGGATGGGCTCCAGAATAACAAGCATAAAATCAGGCCCTTAATTTATACAATGACATAAACAACTCTTTACATGACTTCCTTAGCATGTTGTTTCTAACATGAAACAGTTCACAAATAAAGCTATTCCAGATACAACGCATCCTGTGACAACGAAAAAGAGAATGAAGTTCAAATGAGAAGATTTCTGTGTGAACCGTATTGATGTTCTTGACAGTACCACAGAAATATTTAAACAAAAAACCCATATCCTATTACGTTTCTTTTTATAAAAAGAAATAAACAAAGTCATTCTGCAGTAAAAGTAAGTTATCATTCAGTAAAAAGATATATTATTCTGAAGTCAGCTATTTTATGGAACAATTTTTAAACCTACTAAATTAAAAACTGTGCAATTAAATGTGTCTGAGAAGCATGAACCTTTCACAAAAAAGAACAATGCACTTAACAAAAAAAAAAGAAAAAATTCAATTTAATTTTAAAAAATGCCTTTCAAGATGTTCATCGGGTATGTCTCTTTGTATGGTTCTCTTTAAGAGATAAAAGAACATGTCACATTATCAATAGTGGAAACTAAATTATTTGTTACAAATATATATGGATGTAAACCATACTAGCCATTAAATGTGAAATATGTACTTTCTATTATTCCTTTTTTTTTTTTTTTTTTTTGGAGACATATCTGCTACCTAAATCATAGTTTGCTATTTGCTCTAATATATCTCATCTGGCTTATTATTGTTTTTCATTTCTGAATGAATTAGATTTGAATATGTTCTTCATCTATTTTATGGTTGTATTTTACAAACTGTACTTCATTAATATTATTAAATATTTTAAAACAATACCTAACTTTTCAGATAAGGTTTAATTTTGCTAAATTTAAATCTAAATTATCCTGAGCTGGCACCATTTCAGTGAAAGTTTTGTCATTTACTTCAATGGGAACTGGATTAGGCCTAGTGTACAATTGTTACAGTATCTTAGCTGTTTAGCATCTTAGCTGTTCAGATCTTGTTCAGATGCTGTTCAGATTCCCAAGACAGACTGAGTGTAAAGTATTAAGACATAGTAATGGGACTAAAATAATAGCCAGTATAGAAGAATGCGTCTGCTACACAACAATCTTGCTTACAGAAAAATGAAATCAAGTAAAAGTAACACCATAATTTACCAGAAAGATAAAATAAACATAATACTAAGTACATTATTAACAAAATATGTTTTTGCCAACCATGAAAATATTGCATTTCATATATGATAACATGAGCTGAATTTGGGTTGGTTTTTTTTTGGAAAGTTAACAATCAGCAGTGTAGACCACAAGGACTATAATAATAATAGATATAGATATAGGTATAGATATTAAATGGAAAAGATGCATTTGTTGTTAAAACCACTAATATTAAATATAAATTTGCTTATTTGAATATCACAATTTTTAACTTTATTCAAAATTGCTGACATTTATTTCAGTTTATAAATATCGGAAACTACATGATCTCACAAAACTGTGTACATTTACATTTCTGTTTGCGACCAGATGACAAAGTCTTAATTTGGACCCAAATAAGCATAAATATTTTCCATTTTAAATTAAATGCTCTGGCTCAGAGAAAACCTGTTTTAGCTTGTCATGACATAATTAAAAAACAAATAAAAAACCTCATCAAAAACTATCTCGATTATTCTTAGAGTTTTTATCGTCACCCTGTTTAAAATTTCTCTGTTAACAAAACTATAATTGTCATAAATGTAACTGCAGAAGGAGAATATTGCAGTTAACGATTTTAGGGAACACACGAAATGTAGTTCAGTGTTACTGTTTCTTCTTTCCTTATATCAGTTCTAAAATTAAACCTACATTGAACTGATTTACTATATTCTGGTTCTAAAAATGGGTTGAAATAACCAAAAATGGTAATACGTAAGGATCCAATCCTGCTCCCACGGAACCACGTGCTAAAAATCAATAAGATCATGCCTTTGATTCATAAAGTATCTGAACATGCTAATAGTGGCTATTGTGGATCTAAACCTGCAAACATTCAATCAGACCAGCAGTCCCATATGAAAGGGACATCTTGCTTAGCCCAGGACTGCCCTGTTAAGTGTTTACATAAATATGACCCTTCTTTGAAGTGTTAAAAGAATACAATAACTGACCAATCTTTACTCAATACGTTCTTTAAAATATGAAATTTCACATACTGAAATGCCATCAATTCATTCAAATCAAAATCACTAAAGATACCTATCTGTTATCCTGAATCCATAACACACACAGCGGCATTTATCATAAATCCATTTGTAAATGTAAAAACATTTAAATGCTTTATATTTTAATGTAGTGTCACTACATTAAATATATATTTAATTGTATTATATTGCATATATAATGTATATTTTTATATGTATTCATGCAGATGAAATAACTACAAAGTGAATGTACTTTGTAGCCATGAACTAGGAACAATATACATTAACATTTTCTCTTTCGCAGGGCTAAATTGCAGTCTGTGAAAGCATATACAGAACATTAAGCCAAATGTAGAAAGCACTTCAATAAAAACTGCAATTGTTCTTGCATGCTTAGCACAATACCTTATCTTTATGCACTGAAATGAAAAAAGGAATTTGGAAGA